TAAATAAATAAATAAATAAATAATTGATACCATCATACATTCCTTTGATGTTACCTGTGTCCGCTGCTATCTGTATTTGAGAGCAGAGCTGAAGCCAATAATCGTTGGAGCATTTCCTGGCAGCCTGTTGGACTTGGCTACGAGCAGCTCGAAGAGCTTGCAAGTTGTACTCGCTAGGACAGGCTTTGTATGCTGCTAGAGCTCTTCTCTTATCCTCGATGGTTGGCATCAAATCCCCCGAATGGGCTTCGAACCAGTCAGCCATCTTTTTGGTCTTCTTGCCAAAGGTGGACAGGGCAGTGTTATACACAGCGTTCTTGAAATGTTCCCATCATTCGGGTGCATTTACATTAGCTGGACCTGGGCAAATTCCTTCACTTTTCTTTGATCGCGAGTCTTGCTGATGTTAATACATGATTTTCGTTCCTTTTTCATGTGATACAATCTCTTTGTTCGCAGTTTTACTCTACTACATACCAGGGAGTGATCAGTATCGCAATCAGCATTCTGGTAGCTGCGTGTGATCGTAATACTAGGAAGGCTAGAACGTCTAGTGAGGATCAAATCGAGCTGATGCCAATGCTCAGATCTTGGATGCCTCCAGGAAACTCTGTGTTGAAACTTCGTATTAAAGAATGTATTGCTGACACAAAGACCATAATAACAGCAAAACTCCAGGAAGCGTTGGCCATTTTCGTTCATCTTTCCAATGCCAAAATGGCCTAGACAAGTGGGCCAAGAATTGTGATCAGCATCAACTCTAGCATTAAAGTCTCCAAGGATGAACAGTGCCTCTGTTTCAGGGACTTTTTTGATAGTAGCTGCCAGATCACCATAGAATTTGTCAATTCAATAGAATTGTCAAGAACTGTCATAGAATTGTCAAGTCAATAGTATTTATTTGAATAATACAATTGCTGGCACAAACACACAATATGGGAGAATAACATTTTACCTCTATACTATATAATAGTAGTGTTTTTATCTAAACATTTCTGGCTGCAATATGCTAAGTCTACTGATTTATAATTTAAATAAATTAATTTATTATAATCAAAACCCAACAGGGGAAGACACACAAATATATGACAGATGTAAGGGAACCACAGTATCTGGAAAAACCCTTTAATGGTTCATACCAAGACACATATTTGAATATGGGCCCAAGGATCGAATAAAGACTGCCCTTAGCAATCAAGCAAGAAATCGAAGAGTTGAATGCATTGGAAATAGACACAAGCATGCCTGTAACACAATCAATCAATGAAACAGACGGGTAACTCTCACATGAACAGGATAGCAAAACAGTTTGTGGACTGAGTATGGTTGGTGAGCACAGAGTATAAGAGGAGGAGGTATTTGGGCAAGTGGGTTTGGATCCGAAATAAATGTTACTCTTTGAAGTGCCACAATATGTTGGCCTCCTTTTCTCTCCCTATCCTTTCCTCTCTTTTAATTTTGCCATGATGCTGCAGCTGACTAACATAGTCACTTCTCTGGATGTAAGAGGGAGAAGAAAAACTGAAAACTGGGTGGAAATAGAAATGAAAAGGAATGCACTAGAGTCAGATATGGCTAGCTGGTCAAAGAGGATCACAACACTCTCAGGTACTATTTACATTTATCCCTTTAAAGCTTTACAACCTGATATGTCAGGAGTTAAAAACCCACTCCAAATCATCTTTTTACATCCATAGCCAGCCTCAAGCTGCCCATGATGTCAGCCTTGAGAACATCCCAAATTACCTACTGCAGTTAATTATTCCACCAGGTTGAATTCAGGCTCAGAAAAGCTTCTTTTCCTCTTCAGAGGTTTATTTGACTGATCCACTTTTTGTTTCAATGAGTGAGATTTAAAAAGGCACAAGCAAGACCCAGCTCTTTGCCTGACCAATAATCCATTTGAAGCTAGAGAAAACCATTGAGCATTTATTTCTTAGTTCTTTATTTCCCAGTATTACATTACTATTCAGTTACTGACACTGGGTTCACACTGGTCATATTCTGGTTTCTGTTGGCTCTGCAGTCTTGATTTGATATAGCAATGCCAGATGACATGGCCACTGATTATACTGGCATCCATTCGATACTATTCATGGAATAACTAGGGTTGTATTTCAGTTCACACTTTCCCCCCAAGCACACACCAAAAGCATAAAGCATCAGAGAATGCCCTGTCCTAACCTACAACTGTGCTGATACAATTGTAAGAAAGTTCAAATTGTGCATACTTGAATGTCATAGAGACAAAAATAGCAAGGAATTCCCCTTTACCCGTCCTTTATGCATTCTATGAATGTGGGATAAAAGCACCTTTACACATATACATGCACACATATGCACACAAATATAATCCGTGCTCAAGTCAGGCCTGCTTACTGTTGTGTGTACAAATTACATTCCCTTTTGTATGTACTGTACTCAACCTGACCACAAAACCCAACATTCATTTGCATCAATTATATATAGGAGGCTGCATTAATCCAAATTGGATACAAACCTCCATGCAATGATAGGATGGACTCCTGCCTCTTGGCCTGGCTATTTTTCAACTTCAGCTTTCCATCCAAATTGTACACACATGAATACTTATTCCATATTTGTTCAGTTAATTAAAACAGTGCATTAGCATTCTACAGCTTCTTTGCAACAGTACACTAATCTGCTTTTTAAGTTCCCAGCATCTGCACAATCCAGGCTGTATTCAGTTTGTTACATTAATGAGCACCGAACCTTTCAGCATTTATTTTTATCAGCTATACCATAAATACAATTTTTTAAAATAAAGTTGGAATAATCTTCTGGTGCTCAAATCCTTTGTTACATTTTGGAAAGTCAACAATCCTCAATCTATGATGGATAACTCGTTAGGACCAGAATTGTTCTGAGAAACAGGATAATATAAACAGATTGAATTTTTCCCTTCTGGTAGTCTCATTTGTAGGAACAGTTTTCCATTACCAATGGTTTATTTTGAGTTTTTGTAGTTCATCAATCTTATTCACACATTCACAAATCCAGTATTAAAAGTGAAAAACTCTGATGTATCCCCTGTGCAAATGACCTTAAAATTCTTGCCCAAAGTGGCTTCCATTCAAATGTGCAGGAAGATTCTTGCCACCATTTTATCACAATGTTGGAAATGAAAATGTTGTGATCTTCACTAGTTTATTTTTTGTCAAGTCGTTTACTACAGTAATTCCTCCAATTTTATTCTAAAGGTAAGGGGTCAATAGTGGTCATTTTTCTGAATTGTCAGCAGATGGCCTTACTGAGTCACTGATCTATTCTAAAGCTTTCCACCCAGCATGGATAGAACATAGCATTGCATAAATTCCAAAATAAGCAGCAAGATTATCTTCAAATAAACATGATTAAGAGTTTCAACTTTGGCATTTTGCTTCCACCCTTATTATATTATATGAATGGACAAAAATTAAAGATTTTATTTGAGCAAAACCAGTATTGCTTAGCAACTACAAACACTTTAGCCTACATTAAAAATGTAAACTGTTAGTCAAAGAAATTTCCTCTGGAAGCATATGTTTGTGAGAATGGCACAAACTGACAAAGCAACACGAAAAAAGGAAATTGTAAAGCATTTGCTGGCTTACTCTAATTTAATAAAAAATATACTGCGCTGCTACTCAAGAGGTGTCCTGCCATTCAGGAAATTATCTTACCTAGCTACTGTATTTCAGAAAAAAATATGGAAGCATGGAAAAGCCTATTACATTATCTTGGCATGTATTCAGTTGAAAATTACTGATAAGACACTCAGCTGCCTCCTACTAAAATAATGAAAATGTGCATTTTATTGTGAAATTAAAAGTATTTTTTGTTTTCTTATGTAAACCACAAGGCGATTTGGATGTTGCCTTTTCTAACAATTCTTCTGGCTTACATTTTTAAAAAAATGAAGAAAATGCCACTTTGAACATTCTCAGTAGCAGCACTTATTCAGGCTTAATCCTGTCGTGATATGTGCACCACTAATTATATTTTAATTAGGTTTTTAAACATTTGGTTCAGTAAACCTAAGATAATTGGAAACACTGCTTTCAACAGAGTTATTCTTAATATCTACTGCTGTAAATACTGCTAGTAGATGCCTGACCTGCACACACCATTCTGTATTAATAAACTTACTTCGAGAAAGATTCTCCAGGGCTTTACCAAGCTTCTTACTTTCTTGAAGAATATGATTCAATTCATCAAAATCATGATGCTCTGATTTTGGCCTCCAGTCCCATTTGGGGTGTTCTGTTGATCTTGGCACTGGATAAAATGAGGCACAAAATTTACTTCACATTATAAATTTGTGTAACAATGAAATCCTCTCACAAATTTAGCTTCATCAGTATTTTAGAATTTGTATAAATTCAGCTCAGCCACTACAAAAGTTGAAGATAATCTTCCTTTGACATGTGCTAAACAATACCACAGAAAATTCAGGTGAACAAAACTCACAGCTACTATGTGGTTCCTAATTCAACAGAGAAGAGCCTTGAAAACTCTAAAGAGGGACTTCCTTAGCAGAATTATAATCCATATCACAATGGGACTTCCAACACAATGTAGTGTTTTAGCCAGCCTTCAAACTGCTTTAATTTGGGAAACTTCACCCAACTCCCTCTCTTCCTCATCTTCTCGCCCCCTCCTCTCCAATAGCAGGCCCTCAACACACTGTGGCCACTAAACAGGCCCTCATTGATTTGTTAGGGGCTTATTTGGCGTTGTTGCCCTCTTAGAGGCAAAAAACTCCCACAGCATTAAAAGTTAAATCCAGTTCTGATTCCCAACTGGAATAAATGAACTGAATGTCTCAGACTTTTGTTAGGTCACCACTTATGTAAGCCCTGCTTATTCAATAGGTCAACTCTAGCTAAGACTAACAACTGGATAGAGCCCTAAGAAAAATCTCAAATAAACAAACAAACAAACAAACAAACAAACAAACAAACAAACAAATAAATAAATAAATAAATAAATAGGCTTGTTTCCTAAGCCTATTTTCCCCACTTCTGCAAATACTGTACAGTGGCGCCTCGCATAGCGATCGCTCTGTATAGCGATGAAATCGCTTAGTGACGCTGTTTTTGCAATCGCAAAAGCAATCGCTTTGCGATGATCACAGGGAAGTGATCATCGCAAAGCCCCCATTTTCGGCCAGCTGATCGGCGGTTTCAAAATGGCCACTGGGTAAACAAAATGGCCGCCCCCCGCTATTTTCAGGCACTGATTCCTCACTTTAGAGGCACTGAAAATGGCGGCGCTATGGAGGATCTTCGCTTAAAGGTGAGTTTTAAGCCCATAGGAATGCATTAATCACATTTTAACGCATTTCTATGGGCTTTTTATTTTCGCTTAGTGATGTTATCGCTTAGCAGCGATTTTTTCTGCACGAATTAACATCGCTAAGCGAGGCACCACTGTACTGGAGTTTTCCTGGCATGCTCATACTTCCGTTTTTCAAGAGCCCCATTTTAGATACATAGCTGTCGCAAGCAGGTTGCTATTTACATATGCAATTTTGATACATTGAAATATTATGGGAATCATAATCTTCTAGTACCACCTCCCAAGTACCCATTTGTTTTTTTGGAAAGCTAGTTCAGTAATCATAACTGACACTAAGAAACGAATAGCACCAGATTACTAGTGAAATGTTTTATTCTATTTTGTTTCTAATACCAAGATTATCTAGTTCTCATAGTTTACAATTGGAAATCCTGTTCTCTGTCCTAAGATTCACTTGACTTTGGCACCATCTCATGCTGGAAATTAACATAAGAACCCACTGGGATACACTCATGCAGTAGTTCTTCACTATGCTAGCATTTCACACCAGGAAAACAGGTTCATGTTGGCATTAGGAAACCAGAGATCTGTTCAGGAAAATTGGAGATATTAAAGGAACATTTTGTTCAAAGATGGACATGATAAAGGACAAAAATGGGAGGAAACTAACAGAAGCAGAAGGAATCAAGAAGATGTGGCAAGAATCCACAGAGGAATTATACCAGAAAGATTTGGATGTCCCGGATAACCCAGATAGTGTGGTTGCTGACCTTGAGCCAGACATCCAGGAGAGTGAAGTCAAGTGGGCCTTAGAAAACTTGGCTAACAACAAGGCCAGTGGAGGTGATAGCATTCCAGTGGAACTATTTAAAATCTTAAAAGATGACACTGTTAAGGTGCTACAATCAATATGCCAGCAAGTTTGGAAAACTCAGCAGTGGTCAGAGGACTGGAAAAGATCAGTCTACATCCCAATCCCAAAGAAGGGCAGTGCCAAAGAATGCTCCAACTACTGTAAAATTGCACTCATTTCACATGCTAGCAAGGTTATGCTCAAAATCCTCCAAGGTAGGCTTCAGCAGTATGTGGACCCAGAACTCTCAGAAGTACAAACTGGATTTTGAAGGGGCAGAGGAATTAGAAACCATATTGCTAACACGCGCTGGATTATGGAGAAAGCCAGAGTGTTCCAGAAAAACATCTACTTCTGCTTCATTGACTACACAAAAGCCTTTGACTATGTGGACCACAGCAAACTATGGTAAGTCCTTAAAGAAATGGGAGTGCCTGACCACCTTATCTATCTCCTGAGAAATCTATATGTGGGACAGGAAGCAACAGTTAGAACTGGATATGGAACAACTGATTGGTTCAAAATTGGGAAAGGAG